AACAACAACAACAACAACAAACCTAAAAACCAACAAACAAGAAAACAGAAACACTGTTTAAAAAGCTTTATTTCCTTGGCCAGCAAAAATCCTGGGTCCTTTAGGCTGATGACTTTGGATAAATAGGATGTGGCAATGCACATGATAGGCATCCACTAAAAGTGTGTGAGAGTATGCGTGTGTGTGTAGGGGCGGCACACAATAGGGAACTGTGCAATTTTGCAGCTCCTCTTAATGTAATATTAGGATACTGATTTAAATAAAGAAAAATTTATTTGGCCTTTGAATGCTTCTCTATTTAAACTTCATAGTAGTATGGGCATTTCAGACATCCTTAGAATCCAAAATACATCAAATTATAACAAAGGCACTCTGAACTTATATCTAGCTAATGTCCATGCAATATGATACAAGTATGCCTCTAAATATCAGTGCTTTTAAAAGTTGTAAGAAATATATGTATCTGAAAACGATTATTTTAAATTCAATCTGCCTTCTTTCTAGGAACTTGAAGCTCTCTTTTGTATGTTATTTAAAACACCACTTTGCGCTTGTAGGCATGAAAAATATAATTTCTTTCCCATTTCACAGTTGGGAAAACTGAATTACAGAGAACAATGCTAGTAATTATCCATGATTAATAGAGGTGTGTATGTAAATCAGCCTGAATAAGTGTGTGAAATTAGATGTGCCAATGCCAGATAGCTCAGCTCATGTTTTTAAAAGATGAATGCTTTCATATAAATCTGTGTGAGTTGGGTATACATCTTTCTCTGTGTTAAGCATATTTGAAAATGGACTTTGTAAAAAGGTATGGATATTAAAGTAACTGAGTTTTATGTATTATAAGCATTATAAAACATAAAATAAATTAGGTGAATGTTTAACATTCACTGGACAGATGCATATCTAATGAACATGAATATAAACATAATGGTTATTTATACTTATTATAGATTTATACATGTGTCTGGGCAAGCAAGGTGTAGATTGAAATTTGGGTGTCTTTTGATCATTAAAAAAGTGTTGGAGAGGTTGTATGTTACTTTATTAGGGTTTTTGGGGGTTAATTGGGTTAATACATGCAAAATACCTTGGAACTCCATTGGTACATAAGAAGCTCACTATGTATGTTAGCTATTGTTATTATTGTTAATATTACCATTATTAGACAAGGTGAAATACTGCTATATTAAGGAACTGAAAAGAGGCGTCTTTTCGCTAGTACTTAGGATGGTACCCTGCAGTAAATGAATGAAACTCTAGAAATTGCCCAGTGATCGTCACAGCATAGGATATGTTCTGGATTTTTCTCTCATTTTTCTTTTCATCACATGGGTGTCTGATTCCAAGAATCCATTCCTGGGAGTACTAGGTGAGGGCAGGTGTATTTCCTTCTCCTGCATAGACAAAATTGAACTGTTCTGATGTCAAACGGCTCATATGAACATCAGTCTCCCTTCAGGAGGAAATGTGCTGGGCTGACTTCAGATTTCTGCAAGCCTGGTTTGTTTGTGGTTTGGATTTTCATTTTATTTTTTTAACTTTAATTTGGGAAGGGGGTTGTTTTGTTTTCAGAAAAAACTTTGGACAGCTGTATTAATCATGCAAACCCAGCCATGTGCAATGCGTTTTATCAATGGAAAAACAGGGACGGAATGGCAAGCAGCTGTGAACAAACCCAGTGCCATGCCTGAACCTGGAAGATAATCTCAACATTTCCCAAACCCACTTGCCACACGGGGTTAGTGAATGGAAAGGCTGTTCACTTGGGATAAATAATCAGATGGGAGGCAAACAAGTGAGACACATTCCAGGATTTGTTTTTTTGTTTTCTTTTAAAGTGGCAGTGATCAGAAAAGGATAGACTGAAGGAGCCTGGAGAGCCCCACATTCAAGGGAATTCTTCATTTGAGAGTTTTATAAACAAAACAATGGTTGTTTGTCCTTGTCCTTTCCCCTTATTTCACTTCATTTTAACTTTCTGAGACTGGTTTTATCACCTCATTCTGAACCTTCTCAATGTGAGGGCATCTCTGGGTGCACTTCATTTATGAAGAAAGACGGTGCTCTAGTAAGCTCAAGGGGGAGAAACGCTATCCTTGCCCCGTATTCAGGGCCTCAGAAAATGACTTGAGCCTAATAAAGTGAGAAAAGTTCCCTTAGATGTCTGGAGCTGACTCTTTTCTCATTTTACAATTCAGTGGATTTTCTGCCGCAATAGAGTTAGATGTATTTATGTAAATTTATGCAATTCAGGACTCATTTCAGAATAAATAAACCTAAATTAAAATTAATGGAAAAAAACACCTATCAGAAACAGATTAAGGATGGAAAACTATTTTATTTATATCTTTTAAACTAAGGAGCAGGGATGCAAGCTGGTTTTAATGTTTTGTTTTGTTTTGGGCAGAGGGGGAAAGGACATTTGAAAACTTCTGATTGGCCACAGCCAATACAGATTACCTTTTGGTGTAATTCCAGTATTATTATTATCACTGCAGAAAATCAAGCAATATGATGAAGGAAACCCAGGGGAAATGCATTTGATTTATTGGGCCTTGTTTTTGTTTAATCACAGCTTGCAGGGGTTTAGGACTGCATTCCTGCTGCGACTGCTGTGCATACCCAGTCAGCTTGATGAGCCCTGTCGAGTGGGGCAAGGAGGGGGGACTCTCTGATGAGGGACATTAACAACGAAACAGCTGAAATGAAAAAAAACTTAGGAGAGAAAGTTCTCTTCTGCATGATGAGGGGCCAGAAAAGCATCTTTATGGCTTTCTCCCACTTTCAGAACACCTTAAGGAAATTAACTGATTCAAAATGCTTCAGGCCATTTTTTATCAGCCAATTGCTAAGAGACACGTTAATACTTGAGGGATGAAATTTAGGATTTCACATAGATGATGACAATATGTGATATTTAATTAAATGAAGGTGTCTTGCACTATAGTTATGACCACAGTGAGGCATGCTTTTCATAGATGTTTGGGTACTCAATTGACACCATAAGAAGGGTTTAGCATCCTATTGTCAGTGTTTCCTTCCATAGGAAACTGCATTTCACATGGGTTGTCCTCTTGATTGGAAAGAGGAGAAGAAAAGTTATTCAATCCCTGGGAAGTTAAAGTTGTTATAAAGAGTAGGGAACTTAAAAGGGGACTATCTTTCTATAGCAACCTCTCACACCAGCTATCCCAAGACTCAATGAACAGCTTTTCAGTTTCCACTAGCAGAAGCCCAAAGTATTAGTAGTAAGATAAACTATATTCGCTAAGAATTATTGAAACTAAAAAAACTAACTACAGTCTACCTATAATGTAAAATCAAACTAGGGTCATTCTCCAATCAACAATTCAGTTTGTGGGAAATATAAGGTTCAACAAAATCCCACATGCTCCATCCCTAGTCCAGACTGTTTTTTAATATCTGACAGCTGTCCTTTGTGAACAGTGTCTGGCTTCACTTTGTTCAGTGTTACATATATCATAATGCATGATCAGATAAATATTTGAGTTTGTGGCTACAGAACTCCCACACAAAGGATACTTAGAGTCGCAGTGGATGGGGCATGGCCTCTTTGAAAATGCTATCCATTGGGACAAATGTGTATGCATGTGTTTCATATCAAGATATTTGCAAGATGGCAACATGATAAAATGGTGTCAATCTCTACAGCAACACCAGTGTATAAATGTCTTAAAATAATTGTGGCATGCCAGGAATTCAAAATGGGATAGTGTCCATGAACAGTAAATTTCATGTCAAGTCTATACAACAGGCACATTTTAACAGTCTTATTTTTAGTGCCTGGGATTAGGAACAGATTTCATTGTTTTAGAAAAGAGTTCTTCTAAAATTTCACACTAAAAATAGTTTGAACTCTTTTTAAAAGTTAAGAATAACTCTTTTATTAAGCTGTCTAGTTGATCCTTGAAACTTTACAATTCCTATTTCAAATATAATTAAAATAAGTTTGCATATATATGGGACTACATATATACATGCAAAACATTGCATTATTGACACTGAATATCAACACACAATTTTGCTCTAATTTTTAGTTTGGACAAGTGTTAATGAAACATGATTCATCTTCAAACTTATAAAACAGTAGCTTTCTACCTTTAATTCTCAGCACATTTCCTTTATAGTGTGTATGATAATCTTGTTTAATTGGATTTATTTTTTCCACAGTAGGCCCCGCATGGCCTAGTTTCCATTTTTTCTCAGGTCTTTGAGTGCTATTTGCAAATCACTTTTCTGGAATTTAATTTCAATGGTAGGTTGGTTTCATTTCAGATTTTTTATATTGTTTTAATTTTATTTGCCAATTTGCCTTTAAATAGCCTTAAGCTAGAGAGTCATGGCTGCAACTTGCATCTAAATGTGATGTAGGAGGTAAAATTTAATTTGAGTGTGCAGGAAATTTTATGAAAACGAATACACAATGTCTATTTTATTTGTGTTTTCTAAGATAGTTATATTTAAAAGGAAAAAAAAATTAACATGAATTGGCCAAGATTTTAAGAAAATGTAATGTCCTTGTTATAATCTGGTTGAGTTAACCTTTGGCAATATATATATTCATTTTTACAAGTAATACCAGTAACTTCAGATTCAGATTGTATAAACGTCCAGATCTGAGGGTAGTCAGTCAGAGGATTTGTATTTTTATGGACTAAAGAAATTAACTGGCTGTGTTCCAAATATGTGAGTTCATAGTTAGATGCAATAGTGATTTTAGAAAATATGTTTTCTGGGTTAATATTGTCTTCCCAGCTGCTGACCAACTTGAAGTTAGGTCAGATGACATATCTGTTACATGCCCATCAACTGATGTGAGGGCAACTGATTGACTTTCTTTTGAAGGTTTAAGGAAAAAAGATGATTTATATTATATATGAATTTTGTGAATGTGTTTTTCCCCTTTGTGTGCACACTATAGGTGATGGAGAATGACCCAGCAACAGAGCTACAGTGATAAAAATCATACTGACCTTGAATGGGGTGGGGAATTGTGGGTAAAACACGCTCTAAAGGGGAAAAAATAGTAAGCATCATGGAGATTTTACATATATATATATATATATATATATACATACACATATATATATATATCTTTCTCATGTTTAGTTACTCAAACAATTATAAAACAGATGAATTTCCATGCTTACAGGATCATATATCCCATAAAACATTTGTCTGGCCCTCCTGTTAACACTAAAGTATCAAGAGAAAGCTATTATTAAAAGGAAAATTACAAAAAATTAAAAGAGAGGGACAACAGCAAATTGTGATAACCCTACAAACAGGATGTTACCCTCCACTGAAAAATCACCACCAAGATTTTAGATCTTTTAGAGAGTTGGAGTTGAGGGTGCTAATAGTAGTGATCAAATAAGGTGGTGCATATTGGTCTACGTTCTTGTCTCTTTAGCTCATGACAGATGGACTTTTGGTAGCTATGGACATCTTTCCTCTCCCTAAACCTGACAGCTCATATCAGATTTAGCAAAACATCTGGAAAATTCATTTAGGGAAATACTAACACAACTTTTCCCTCAGGTTTTTAGTTCCACATTACTGATACCAGTTCACGAGTAATGTCAAGGTAATAAGTTTCTTGGCATGATATAATTTGATTTTTAGTCTATTCCTTAATCTCCGCCTCTTTTTATAATACAATCTTATCCGAAATTTGATCAACCAAAGTTACTTGATGATACATCCCGCTGAGTAATAAGAAGTGCTTTTCTTTTGAACATTGGAATTTTAGCTTAAAAGTTTCTCAAAGTCTCCTACCTAGCTACTGACAACTTGATGTGCTGACAGAGTTCAGGCTTTCAGGTACCCTTTCATCATTTACCTCATTAAAAACCCAAATTTAACTCTAGATCCTCTTCCAAGGCTCTTTCAGAAAGTGACAATGTTAGAGATAGAATGCATTCTTTGCTACTGCCAAACATTATGGTGTAACATAATTAGCCCACACTTTTCCACGTTTCTACATTAAATAAAGACCAGTGAGAAATGAAAACCAACACAAATCAAAATTATACAGAGAAAAGCATATAAGCATATGTGCATATTCACATTTGACCTGCCTATCATCTTGTACCATAAGCTTAGGAGGAGTAAATTTTACCCAGACTTTGGGCACTTGATATATCTGGATACTGAGAAAACTCAGTCTCCTTGCAGTGTGAGCTATTTCCTAGCTTGGCTGAAAGCTGTAGCTTAAATGTGAAAGTTTCCTAAGTCCATTAAGAGGCAGCAGGTCAATAATAGCCCAGTGAACAATTGTGTCTTAGTTACACAAGTGTCAAGTAGAAAAATGGCTTAAATCTTTACTTACTATTTGGTATTAAGTTTCCAGCTTTGAAAATAAATAGCTAAACTGCTTTCAGTATTTATGTAGCAGTTGGAGACCACTGTCCCTTATTATACTCTTTCTACTGTATTTTCTTTTTATCATTACTATTATTATTCAGACTGTTTAAATGACTCAGCTTAATATTTTCTCATCACACTGTTCCCAGCTGGGTATAGGCACTCTGCCCTCATTTCTACATGACCATTTATATTGCTGAGCCATCTCACCCACCCTCCCTTCATTGCTTTTCCAACTGCTACTCAGCTTGCTATTACCATCTTAGCTCCACCCTGACCCTGTGATCATCAATTTAGGCCTAGCCCGCCCCATTATGATTCTCATTCTTTTAATTCCACCCTATTGACTTATCTTTTCTTAGAAGCTTCCCTCTCCCACTTTTTAATTCTTATCCTTCCCCCATCATTCTGCTGTTGTTTTATAGTTTATGCCAGGGTTTGTGTGTTCCTGTAAAAAGTGTCAAGTGAAGTAAATACCGCTTAAAATGAAAATGTCCCGACTTTTGATTTTCAAAAATAGAGGAGAGCAGAAACCATAGTGCTATGTGCTGTGTGCTTCTCCTTTGGCTGCTTATCCCTGAGGAGGTCAACATGCTTAGCAACTGATTGGGAGGCTTTAGGAACAGAACTCTAAGGTTGGCCCTAGTACTATATGCAGTGGCTTTTAGCAAGTCCTTTGACTCTGAGCTTTAGTTTCTAACCTGCTAAATAAAGTGGGGGTAGGAGGGGGCTAGTTCTGCTGGGAAGCAACTAAAGGGGCATTAACACTTTACAAGAAAACCCTTGCCTGAGCCCGCGGGTTCGAGACCCTCCTGGGCAGCGAGACCTCATCTCTACAATAGATCAAAAAATCAGCCGGGCCTGGTAGCGCATGCCTGTAATTCCAGCTACTTGAAAGGCTGAGGCGGAAGGATCGCTGAAGCCCAGCAGATCGAGGCTGCGGTGGCCGGGAGCATTCCAGTCTGGGCGACAGAGTGAGACTCCGACTCAAAAAAAAAAAAAAGAAAGAAAGAAAACCCTTTGAATTAAGGGCATCTAAATGGCAAAACTGGAGTTGAGGGTAGAGTGTGTACATCGAAGTTATATGTTAACACAGATGTGAGTTTCTTTTACTTTCCTATGAATATTACAAAGATTCAACGGGCTTTCTGGACATCAACATATTGGATGCCTATTTTTGAAATGAAACTAGTCCCAGTGCCCCACCTATTTCCTTTTGTATCCACAGAGAGCTCATTTAAGGAATTTGCAGCTAATTTTTCATACACGTGGGTAGATAACAGTTCCAGTTGTTTTATTATGGGACATCTAAAAGTAGCTGGTTAAAAGGCTTTGCCAAGTCTTAAGCAGCATCATCAAGCAGTGTATATTCAAACACCAAGCCCTTCAGATAATAATTTTAAATGATTTGTAAAGAAAAGGGAGAGACCCTCATTATAAAAAACCTTGTTGAATGCTGAATTGTTTAGGTAGTACTTGAAATTTAGTCAACTATAGGTTTACAAGTTAATGATATTTTAAAATTAAAAAAAAAATTAAAAACACCTCCTACACACTGTTGTGGCAAGACCCAGTGTAGAGTTCTTTGTGTGTTTATTCTTCTGTACTCAATAGCCTCAAAATACCTTAGTAATCCATACATTTATCTAAAGTATATGGTAACTGATCAGTAGAACTGTCTTTTAATATGTGGGAATATTTTCCTCCTAGAGCCCACCGCTCGCCACTAGGCTGGAATATTAGTTGAGAACTTCAACATGCAAAGATAAACCAATAGTGTAATTACTCTGGTGGACCCAGGCTACTGTGGGCAAGAGGAAATGGAGGTGGCAGATATAGTGCTCTTGAGTGGGAAGGGATAGAGCTGTACAAAGTCATTGGAAAGACCTCACTAAGAAAAAAAAGGAGAAAAAAATAGATGTCTGCTCACCTACAAACTTACAAAACATATCTTCTAACATTTTTGCCCATTTACACAAATGCAGATAATGTGTTGGTCTAGAGTCTAGAGTCTGGAGTCTTGAACTAGAGTAGCCAAATTTAAGTCCCAAGCTCATCTTTACTTAGTTACACTAGACACTAAACCTCTTGTGTATTAGAAAAACATAAGTACATAGGACAGCCCCTTCGGGTCCCCTCCTACTATGGGAGCTTTTTTGTAGATAAATCCTACTTTCTAAAAAAAAAAAAAGAAAAGAAAAACATGAGTACATAGTAGGGTCGTTATGACAATTCACGTATATGATCACGTATATGAAGCATGTAGCACAGTACATACTGCTGCTACCTTGTAAGCAATCACTTGAGAAAAAATGACAACATTTAAATCATCACCCTTATTCTTCCTTTATATCCATTGGTTTAAACTAACTCTGGCCAAGTGGAGTGGCTCATACCTGTAATTCCAGCTCTTTGGCACTCTGAGACAGGAAAATTGCTTTAGGCCAGGAATTTGAGACCAGCCTGGGCAACACAGCAAGACTCTGTCTCTTAAAAAAAAAAAGCTCGGTGTGGCAATGCACACCTGTAGTCCCAACTACTCAGAAGGCTGCGGTGGGAGTATTACTCAAGTGCAGAGTTTGAGGCTGCGGTGAGCTGTGATTGTGCCACTGCACTCTAACCTTGGTAACAAAGTGAGACTCTGTCTCAAAACATTAAAAAAACAAACAAACCAAAAGAAAAACTAACTCAACATGAGTACGAGATAAAATAAACATATTATGTTTATTAGTGAAGTTCAGTTCAGTCATCAGTGTGAAAGCAGAATCTGTGATGTGACATGCAGACAAAGGAACTTCTCTTGGCATCACTCAAAGTTCAAGTCTTCACACATATGATAGATATTTTCCTGTTTGACAAGGATCAAGGAGCTGAATCCTTTGCCCTGACACATTGTGCCATTGGAATAATACATTCAAAAATTATTTAAGGTAACACTTAGCCCAGGGATGAAAAAAAGATCTAAAAGGCATAACTTTGGCTATACAGCTTGAGGTGGTTTGGGTCTTTGGAACAGTGCTAGAATGTGTGGAGAACAAGATGACTGAGAGAGGAATGCTTCCACTGGCTTAGGAAAAATTTCTATGAATATAATGTATTCTTGCACTCTCGTTCAATTATTTTGACCCTTTTGGAGATCAATATTTGAATAGAGAGTGGAGAAGGGTACATATGTATGTGACCGCAAATTGACACCATGTGAAAAGTCAGCACATCACTGGGGTGGACACGGTTGCAAATGTGCTGACACACCAACAAAGATGAATAATCGTGAACTCTTCAGGGGCTCTGGCGTTGGGTCTCTACCTACTGCTGCCTCTGGCTGGCAGCAGCTTGCCAGCTGCCTGTTCTGCTCTCGACTGGCTTGGTCAGCAGAGCACCCTGCTGGCCACACAGTGTTTCTGTCAAGGCTGCGGCCTAGACACCAGCCCCCAAGCAGCCTCCCCTTCTGACACTTCTGTGAAAAAGTACCACCACCGACACCTGCTTAGTGTCTCCCCCCCACCATTAATCCCATTTACTTTGAATCTAAGTAGTGGGTAATGTACCCACACACACACTTTTGTCTTTCTGTTTCCTCCCTCCCTCCATCTCTTTCTCTTTCTCTCCCTCCCTTTCTTTTTCTTTTCTTTCTTTTTTTTTTTTTTTTTTCCTTTTTTGGCCCTGTGTGAATTATGCTACCATAGGGCCTCATCTTGGGGTTCTAGCTATGCAAGTCATAACAATGCACCTCTCCAAACAAATTGGTGGTAGGGGTCTAGGGAAGAGTGCCATTCCAGTTACAAAAAGAAGCAGAGCTTTCCCTTAAAATGTTCAAGCTTAAGCCTTGGGTCTGAGAAATGGGGAAGTAGATTTGCCAGTTTTCTGCAATGTTTACAGCTCCTCTTCACCTCAAAGCCTAATGACCTTTTGTGCTCTATTGTTCAGTAAGTATCATACCTCCTAATGTTTCCTTACATAAAGGTGGGAAATCAATTCCAAGCCAAATGTTGATGCATATGTTGCCTCTGCATGCTGCTAAATGTAGACCCATAGTAGTGCCTGTGTGGGCTTTTCTGGAGAGGGTAGTGTGGGCCCACCGGGAAGTAGTACATCATTAATCACTACACTGTGTACTTCCCAAATATGTAATTAAGGATGACTTCTACCAAATCATAAAGGGCAGTATAACAGGAAACAATAACCTGATTCCCTGATTCTCAGTTTACAAACAGATTCTGTAAGATTCTTGACATTTCTCAATTTTACTGGGTTAAGTCCTTTCAACAGACTTTTGTGATAGGGCACCAGCATGATAGGGCTTGAGATGACCTTCCAGGCCTTCTGGCCGTATCTCCATTGTCTTTGACCTAGTCCATGCTCACTCTCTCTACTCAAATATTCCATCATTCCACCTCTTTCCTTTGCCTTCTCTTAGTCTATAGACAATTTTTATTAATTAATTGAAATATATTATTAGCATACTTAGTCTAGGTGGGGGAGGAAAAAAATGCCATAACGCAAATGTAAAATTGTTCACTTTCTCTAACTAATCTAATTGTTCCATTTTCTATGTTTGAATCTCTATAAAGCTTTCTTGTTAAGTATATGTTGTCCTACTGAACCAGGTCACCTTAGATTTGTTGGAATCTCAAATTCATAGTTGAGGCTGGTTTTCCTCCCTAATTATGGAATCCCTAATGTTAGGAATGAATTAACTACCTTTCTTAATAAATATCTTCTCAAGTATCTCGGGGATATTAATATCTCTAGTTGAAGCAAAGAATACTGATGTTTGGTCTTTGGAGACAAGTAAACAGGTTATGAATTTTAAACCTCATATTGAGGCAGCATTAGTATAGTTGTGTCCCATCAAACTGTCACAGACTGAAGTCAATGAGAGTTATGAATGAGAAACTGAAGGCCAAATTTGGAGTAGTTTGTGGTTGTTGTTTTTGATAAGTGGAGTTGGATCTTGAACAGTTTTTAAATGACTTTACCACTGTATTTCAAGAGAACTCTCACTTAAATTGATTTTTGTTCTAAAATCTGTTTTTTTTTTCTTAAAGGCTCATCCAAATGGAATAAAGCAAGAGGGTCATAGTATTTCTAGTTTTTTCCAATTGAATCTGTACAGGAAAAAACAAACAAACCTGTTAGTGGTTTGTTCTTCCAAAATAATGGTATATTTTTTTGGATTTTTTTTCTCTTTAGTCCATCCAAATGAACTTTGACTCAATATGGGTTAACTTTTTTGTTTTGCTTGTTTCAATTCCAAATGTTATCATTTTCCTGTGATATCATTCTGCATCCTTCTGTATCCCAGAGACATTTGCTTCTCTGCTCATAGTCACCCAGCCATGAAGGCAGGTGACTCAGAGACCTGACTATAATATATTCCTAAAAGGCAAGATTCCAAGGTGGGGTGAGCTACTAACATCAGAAACTTTAAAATGACGGCCTCCTCCTCAGTCGACTTTTGGGATCTTCTCTGTTCTTCAGAAATGTTCATCTTTCCTACCATTTCCATCTCTGTTCCAAAAATATATCAGAAAAGTAATGTCTCCTACTGTCATATGGAAACCTTTCTGCAACCATTTTTCCTCCTTTAGATTTTATATTATGTTTTAATCATTCATTCCACACTTCCTCTTGTGTTGTTAAAAATACACTTTCTTTTTCCAGCTTCTCCCTTCTCCCAGCACCTTATCCATTCTCACTGAATATTTCTTCCTCAATCACTCTTATCACTGTCACTTTGTAACTGCTATCCATTTCCAGGCTCTTACATCATCTCTGCCTCTTAAAGAGACCGCCACCAAAGAGATCTGTGTTCTCTGAATAGTTTTTCAGCTTAACCAACTAGGACAAAAATGGACTAAAGAAAACAAAAAAAGGCGATTATCAAAAGTAACATATTTACAAATGTTGCTTCGTTTGTAAATTTCTCCTTATGCACATGGATTGAGGACACTGCATTTTTTATTCAATGAGTATATCCTTATTTTTATATAAGTTTACCTTTAATAGATGAGGGCATAGTTTTCAAGTTTTCCATGTAAGAACTCGATTTCAGTTTGCCCTGGTTTGTCATACTTACTGAAAAGGACTAGGCTGGCATTGGTGACCCCAAGCTTGTTGGCAGCCACGCAGGTATAGTTGCCGTAGTGCTCCTCAGTGACATTGGTCACCGTCAGGGAGGACTGGCCCTCCGTGCTCTTGATCTCAAGGCCATTGGCACTGTTTATCCTAAGAGTTCAAAGAAAAGAAGAGTAAAAAGAAATACTAGTGAAGATTTTAGTTTAGTAATTCTTTCCCCATCCTGACATTGGAGGAAAAGGAGAGAAAGGAAGTAGCTTAGAGTTTGTTGTTCCCTGCTCCATTCCTCATTTTAATTGCACAATATCTTATTATCAGAATCAGCAGAGAAAACTCAGGAATGGCCTTGAGTTTCTGTTATAGGGAAGAGAGACATGTAGGTGGAAACTACAAACTGAACCATTTTTACATTTTACCTGAGTGCTTTGGGACTTCAGTTTAAGAGCTACAGGCTCCAGAGCACTTGATAAAGATATATTAAAAAGGAAAAGTTCTAAACTATAGTTCTACATCATTATAGCTGGCTTGGTTTTGTCATGGGACTTCTGGTACCTTCAGGCCCACCTAGTGAAGAAGTGGGACATGATAGGTTTGGAACATACCTGGTATCATCCCGGTACCACTCAAAGTCAGGCGCAGGCACTGCCGAGGCTTCACATTTGAGTGAAGCTTGTCGCCCTGTGGTGGCTTCATTGCTCTTGGATTCTGTGATAGTAGGAGGATCTGTAGGAAGGACAAGCACACGGATTTATATCACAATCAGAGAGTGCTCCAGAATTTCCACTCAAGAAAGAATTAGCCGGGCTTGGTGGCTGAGCCTGTAACCTTGCGCCTTGGGAGGCTGAGGTGAGTGAATTGCCTGAGCCCGCAGGTTCGAGACCCGCCTGGGCAACTTGGTGAGACCTCATCTCTACAATAAATCAAAAATTAGCCGGGCGTGGTAGTGTGCGCCTGTAGTTCCAGCTACTTGGAAGGCTGAGGTGGAAGGATCGCCGGAGGCCAAGCAGGTCGAGGCTGCAGTGACCGAGAGTGGCCACTGCACTCCAGTCTGGGCGACAGAGTGAGATTCCAACTCAAAAAAAAAAAAAAAAGAATTAAGGACAATTTGATTGGACACAGGTAGGAAAGGAACAGTCTTACAGCTCTATTTACATGAATTATGTGATCAGCTGAATGGGATTGATCACTAGAAAACTAAATACAGATAAGAGATGATTACTGAAAGCACAGCTTTGGTTTACTTAAATATGATTCTTAACAGGGTTTTATAAAATTGGAACCTATATTTCTTTTTCCCTTCTCTAGTAGATCATCAGTTATCCCAACTACAGATTGCTAATATTTGTATATATATTTTTTCTTTTCATGAATTAAGTGATGCTATCAAAGGGTTTTGGAATTTAGATGTATAATTTGACCATTTTTGTTTTTTTTATTACTATTATTATCATCATCATTATTATAGACTGAGATGGCTTTGAGGAGTCTAATGAAAATAACAGAGAGCTAAATTCCTCCCAGCAAGTGTGGTTTGATATTGTTCCAGAACTCAGAAACAAACAAACAAAGTATAAGGTGATTTATCTTCTTTTCTCTTATGTGTTTTCTTATCATTATGACCCAGGTAAACTTTGCTTTTATGTGCGGAGGTGCAGTTTGAATTCAATGCTAGTGCACAGAAGACTTCCTGATGTGACAGTCTTCTACTCTCTCTGACAGCTGCACACTTGACTGTTATGCCCAGGAATGAGCCTAAAAAATTATTATAGGCTTGAAGTGAGCTCAGAAACACATCTGATGTTCTAATTTGCGATGATTCATTCAGACAATGAATTAAGTGTTGAGGGTGGAACAAGTGTTTACAGGTCTACATGACTGTGACAGGACTGTAGACTTAAACTCCCGTGCTTAATGCCGCTGTGTGTGTGCAGGTTGTGTACCTTCCAGCAGAGAAGAACTTTCCTGTCCAAAGGTCATTTGCCAGAAAATGGCAACTTGGCTGTGTACACATGGGAAAAATAGGCTCAAACAATCTTTTTAGACAATAGAGGAAAAAACGTATTTAGGAAAATGAGTGAAGCGAACTTGAGCATACAAACTAATTTAAATCCCTGCTCTTCAGCACCTGGTCCATCTTCCTTGTTTCTGAGATTTTGTCTTCATGTTCGAAAACTATTTTCCAAGTTTTCCATCTGTAGAAAACTCTTATCCTCTGAGTTAAAAGTGATATACAAAAGCATCAGGTTTGTCTACAATTTCCTTTCCCATTTTATTTTCCAATCAGCTTGGAAATGTTTAAATCATATAATGAAAGACTTTCAAATGAAACTTTCATGATCAGTTTAAGCTAGTTCCTTTTTTTTAAAGATGAGAAAGAAATGACTCAAACTGGTAGAGATGCCTGCCCAGGTCACAGATCTGGTTAACCGTAGAATCAAAATCAGACCTTGGGTTTCCTATTCCCAATTGCTAATTTTGATTCCTAACCCATGGAATGGGTCAGAGAGGAAAGAGTTTTGTTTTGTTTTGTTTTGTTTTGTTTTGTTTTTTGAGTTGGAGTCTCACTCTGTTGCCCAGGCTGAAGCACAATAGCACACTCATAACCACTGCAGCCGTGACCTGCTGGGTTCAGGTGATTCTTTTGCCTCAGTCTTCCAAGTTGCTGGAACTACATAGGCATGAGCAACCATACCCAGCTAATTTGTTCATTTATTATTATATTAGAGATGAGGTATTGCCAAGTTGTCTAGGTTGACCTCAACCCCCTGGACTCAGGCAATCCTCTCGCCTCAGCCTCCCAAAGTGCTGGAATTACAGGTGAGAGCCACTGCATCCAGCTAGGAAAGAATTTTGAAAAAACAATGGTATGTAAACAGGCATGCCAGAGCAGGGTTTTGTTGTTGTCGTCTTGCTCTAGACTTTTCTTATTTTCACATAAGCACAAAATAAGATGTAGTGGAAAGAACCCTGGATTGGAAACTAAAAGTCCTGGGATTCTATCTCAGTTTGGCTTGGCTGTGTGGACCTTGCATTATACACATTATCTTTCTGGGCCTTGGTTTTATCACCTATAAAATGAGAGGACACTACACTTTAATGATCTATAGCATCCCTTCCTGCGATAAAATATCACAATTCTAGTTTTAAAATGTCCATTCTTTTTTTTTTTTTTTTTTTTTGAGTTGGAGTCTCACTCTGTCACCCAGACTGGAGTGCAGTGGCCGCTCTCGGCCACCGCAGGTCATTGCATTATCCTTTGAACCTGCTGGGCTCCAGTGATCCTTCCGCCTCAGCCTTCCAAGTAGCCGGAATTACAGGCATGCACTACCATGCCTGGCTGATTTTTTGATTTATTGTAGAGATGAGGTCTCGCTGCCCAGGTAGGTCTCGAACCCACGGGCTCAGGCAATCCACTCACCTCAGCCTCCCAAAGGCACGGGATTACAGGCTGAGCCACTGAGCCTGGCTTAATTTTTTTAAAATTTATTTTAGACATGAGGTCTCGCCAAGTTGCCCAGGCGGGTCTCGAACCCGTGGGCTCAGGCAGTCCACTCACCTCAGCCTCCTAAAGTGCGGGATTACAGGCTGAGCCACCGAGCCCGGGTAAAACGTCCATTCTTTACAAATGGGCAGTTGGTATCATTATGATTCAAGTATATTTTCATACCCTTAACTCAAATTGCTAACTAACCAAATTAGAACTCATCTCTCCCATGGGTTAAGAATCTGGATTAGCAGTCAGTAACAGAAAACCTGAGGTCCGATTTTGACTCTACTCTTAACCAGAGCTATGGCCTGGGTAATGTAAACCAGTTTAAACCTTTCATCTTTCATCTTCTAAAAGAAGAAGCTAGCTTAAAAGGATCACCACCAATTCCTTGAAAAGTTTTACCTTCTATGATTGGTTACATAGTTCATTAGAACATATTAGTTCAAAGGATAATGCAATGACCAGTGGTAGTGGTGTTGTGGGGGATATATCAGAATAGGGTTGAAACACAGAAGAGTGGGGGTTAGATTTATAGTTTGATAGGGCGGACCTCAAATCCAGGCCCTGTCCGTCATTGTTCTTCCTCACCCGAGAGTTTAGTACTTTGCCCAGAGTCTCATTGCCTCAATTTCCTCATTTATGAAGTGTTGACTCCAAGGCAGGGAGGCACATTGAGAAGCTGCTGAAGGAATCCAGAGGATGTCCTAAACTACATTGGTGATAAAGAGACTGGGAAACAATGGGGAGATTTGAGATATATGAGACCTCAGAATAGAGAAGATTAGCAATAGATTAGATGTGAAGGGGGAGAAAAAGAAAGAATGTTTAAAAGATAACAGTTAGGTTTCTGACTTGGGCATCTGGGTGATATTAGTTTCCTATCCTCACTTCTTTTCACTATATTAGGTTCTTAAGCTGCCAGTCTGCAGCACAGTGGCCCATTAATGTTGGCTGGAGAGATAATTTTGCTTATGGTTTTTCCTGTTTGCTCAATTCCATGACTTGTAAAGGAGTTTTAACCAGTGATTGTGAGTTTCTGGAACCACACAGTTATAGCTGAAAAATACTTAATGATGAGTATTGTTTTGCTGAACCTGTCCCAAACCTGGACCAGATTTCACACTTGCTACCATTACCACCTCTGGGGCTCATAGTTGTGGCACCTCACTATCACACTGTCATCACAGATGCCTTCAAGTCCCTCTACCATGGGACCAGGAATGGAGCACCAGTTGTACAGTTTCACACAGAGTTCTTGCTAACTCTGTATGTTTTCTTTGATAAAGCAGTTGCTTATTTTGTGTACCTACTGCTCCTGGGATCCATGGGGAATAAATGATTTTTCTGATTGAGAAATTTGGGAAGAAGAAACTGGGCCTGTTTGGCTCATCTCTTTCCCTTTTTCCTCTTGGGGCTAAGTTACTGGCAGGAAGCTGAGGTTCTCCTCTGTTTCTCCATGTTAGAAGTCTTACTTGGACTCTATCCTTTCTGCTTTTATGAAGATAGGCCAACCCCAGCCCAGGGCTGCCATACCTGGGAATGTAAGTTGACCACACTAAGCTGCTCTCCCTAATAACATTCATCTCCAAAGATGGAAGCATTTAGATCTCCCAGACTACTCCTTTACTTCTCAATTTAGTTTGGAATCTGAGTGACTAAGTAGTAAGATATTTATTAGCCCCTCAAAAACCCCAGCATGGGGAAGCTAGCAGTAAACTAGGGTTGAGCACTTATAAGTGCATTAATCTTGGGTCAAGAGAGGACAAGATGGCTCTCGTCAATTACAATGGCCAACCACTTGCTTCTCTGAAAACCTAGATTCCTTGTACCAGGGTAAATCCATGAATAATGATAAATGTACAATGAGCTCATTGTTCCTAATATTTCTCAAATGACACCATGGTCCCAGTCTATTCTTGCATGGCTTATTAGAATGAGCATTTCAAAATTCATTTGTAATGAATTCTGTATAGGTGAGGCTAAGAAAGATTATCACAAATCATATTGCAGCATGCCTGTTGCAGTTAAAATAATAGATGTCCTTGCTCAAAATATGGTTATAATAAAAATGTGGTTTCATAAAAATGCAGCACAGAGTGGCCCATTGTTATTCTTTATGTGACTTTGGAATAGCCTACAATTGGCAAAGGACTTTTCCAGTTTTTATTACTTCAAAATTCCATGTTCTGAAAATATTAATGGGGTTTTCTTCTTCTGACATCACCAGTGACAA